TTTAATCATTTAACATCATAGTAATGAAAATCTTCCGTTCCATCGAAAACCATACCTGAAATGTAATAGAATTTATGTATGCTCCTTGACTAACTGCCGTGATCAGTACTTACCATTCACTTCGCATTCGCCTATTGCCTACCGACGTTGGAAATCCGAACTTCCTCGATAGATTGAAATATTTGTTATTGTATGTTCCTCAGTTTTCTTCACCTCTCATTTTTCAGCCGTTGTCTGCCTTATTATCTACCTTTCCAAGAATATGTATTGCATAGATTGCTATTCATCACTTCCAGAAGGTTTACTCACATATTAGAGCCATATCGCCTGAAAAACAATATTAGTTAGCTCTGGGTTTCTGAATACAATAACCAGGTTAAGAGACAGCTGTTGATTGACATCTGCCCAAACTGCCATAGTGTCGTTCCGACAACCTACACCGAACTAGTTCTATAGTCGTTCACGGGTGAGGGATCTATCGGTTACTCAAATTGTCAAGGGTTGTCATAATAACTTTTTTGTAGGTCTCTAGAGCTGTGTTTTTCGCGCAGTCCATATCGTTTTCAATAATGAATATATTAGTATCATCAGCATAACACGTACAGTGAATGGCCGAGTTCTCATTTAGGTACACTGATAAGTCATTGGCAAAAGCTAAATACAAGAAGGGTCCTAGCATGGATCCCTGTGGTACTTCATCCTCAATATTTCTTTCAGTACTTAGACTTTTTCCAACTTTGACTACTTGCCTTCTCTTATATAAGTATGAGTTTAGTAAGGATAGGGGTATTCCTCTTACACCATATCTTGAACGTTTGTCCAGCTAAAGATTATGGTTCACACAATCGAAAGCCCGTGAAAAGTCAATAAATAATCCTAAAACACATTTATTTTTGTCTAGAGCACTCACTATTCGATTTTGAAATTCACACAGTGCTGTATCAGTACTTTTTTTCTTAGTGAAACCATGTTGTGAGGGCGATAACAAGTTATTTGCTATGAAATAGGATTCCAATTGTTCTTTTATATTAATTTCATAAAGTTTAGAGATACTTGAAAGAATACTAATTGCTCTATAGTTATCCATATTGTTAGGATCACCTTTTTTAAAAATAGGAGATACACTAGCAAGTTTAAGATTGGTAGGGAAGATCCCTTTTGAGGTTGAGAGATTAATTAAAAAGGTCAGGACACCACATAGTTCATTAGAGCAAATTTTCATTATTTTATTGGAGATTTCATCAATCCCAGTGGAGTTAGAGTTTTTCAATCTGTTAATCATTTGTGTGAGTTCCCATTCAGTAATTGGAAACATAAAAAAGCTTGAGTTATTTAAGGTGACATTGCTCTCGAGAAACTTTGTGTCAACGGAGAAGTTTTCAGATATAGTCCTAGTAAAATGTAGATTAAATTTTTCAGCTATCATTTCATCTGAATATTGAATATCATTGACTGTTATAACTATTTCACTATGTTTCATAGTTTTTTTTTGTAATTCATTAATTATGGCCCAAGTTGTTTTAGATTTGTTGCATGAGTTTAATATCAACTCATCATAATATTGTCTATTCAGCGATTGCAGTTTCTCTCTGTATTCTTTATNTATCAGATACAAGCTAAAAGTGGAAAAAAAGATCATCCCAAACGACTACTCTCAAACATATGAACATTGAATTACTAGAAAATCATCATTTCCAATTCAGTTTGTACTTTAAAGATTTGTATGAAATTGAAAGAGATATCATAAATGTTCACACAACGTAATATATGAAAGATCATTATAATTAAACTATTATTGAATGAATGAATTGTTAACATTGAATTAACTCAATACCTTATAGATTCTAACCTAATAACTTCATTAGAATGTGCCCAGAATAAAAGACTTCTAATCAGTAGATTACCCAACAATTGATCTGACATCCTTGAGATCAACGTTTTGAATTTCTATATAACATTTATTATTGAATGAATGATTATAGTTCCATGGAAAATTTCAATAAACCTTCAATCGATTACTAGCAGAGATTTGTTGATAATTTTGTGTTTGAAACCTTTGTGCGTCACAATACGATCGAAGATACTATTGTATAGCGAAACACGTGTCGCGGTTTTGTGAAATTTCAAGTGGAAATCTCATATTGAAGTGTGTTTTTTTAATAGGTACGTTATATGTTTGGGACTTCCGAGCTAAACGATTATTCTATTATTAATGTGAATATCTATTCAGATATCAGAATATTACTGAATTGAATAATTACATTCGAATATAAGACTTCTATCATATTCTAAAAGTGTAGTATTATTTTCGACGTGTGTTGTTTGGCCAAAATTCAGCAATATTGGAAGAACTTCGCGGCCACAGGCTTTATGCCCAAAATTTTCTAAAACATTGCGTGGCATAAGCTATCTGATGTGCCGACATCCTCAGCAACTTCTTTTATAGTGATTCGACGATTCTCCATAACAATTTTCTTCACTTTCTCAACATTTTCATCGGTTGTTGATGTGCTGGGGCGTGCAGGGCGAGCTTCGTCATTCCCATCTTCTCGAGCTTCTGTGAAAAACTTACTTGTAAACATTTTTCTGACTCAGAGTACAATCACCGTACGCCAATATCAACATTTCAAGTATTTTTGAGAACTGAATTCCATTTTTAAACAAAATTTGGTACACATGTGTGAATATATATTCAAGACGAGTGCACCAACATACAAAAATCAAAAATCGCTAATGTCCAATGTCATACAAGCCTCTGTAATTAATGCGTTAAAATTTTTTCTTCGTCGTTTTCGGCATAGTAATAAGTATACCGTGTCATCCCCAAAGTATACACCATATGGGAAACTTGTTTATTGAGGTTTTTCGACAAAATGTTACTGGTGATAAAAGTTTGTGCATCCCCTAAAACTAAAAATGCACCAACGAAATACAGTAAAAAACACGTTATATACGAGGAGCCTTCAAATATTTGATTTTGGGATAAGAGTAAAGTACCCTTATTTTGAAAAATTTCGGGAAATGTTATTCAAAAAAGTTGTTCAGCTTAAAAAAATACATCTGTATTTGAAGTCATGGCCATCCAAGCAGAGTTTTATTTTTTTACCCATTTTTTTGAATGGGGACTACGAAAAAAAAACATTTGCTAAAACAATAAATAGACAGCATCCTGTATACGAAGGTTTGTTTTAAAAGGCTGTAATATTACGAATTACACAACTATGATGTTAACCACGGTCAATTTTTCCTTTTCTAAGTTTGCCGCAGACAATATCAATATGTGAAATCCATGAGAGCTTTGAATCAAAGGTAATTCCTAGCATTTTGATAGATTCAGAAGAAGACACGACGTTATGGGTATTCTCAAACAACAAAAGCTGGTGGTGTTCCCGACTATTTGAACAAAACATTAAGGCATTAGTCTTTGATTTATTAATTTTCAAATGGTTTTAGTCTGACCATGTTATAACCTTAGCATGGGTAGTCTCAGCCAATAATTTTAATGATACTAAATCTTCTTCTGTCGTCTGCATAACATGTTCTAATAATTTTATTGTGTTCGTTCACGTATGATATGAGGTTATTGGCAAATACTATGAATAGAAGGGGGCCTAATATTGATCCTTGAGGGACACTTTGTGTTGAGAGTTTGTGTTGCAATCTGGCAACTGACAGATCTATCGTAAATTTCGTGAAGGTCGTCCAAAATCAGTTGTTGTTCCGAAAACCATTGATGCTGTGCGCGAACAGATATTGCAAGATTGTCATGTGACCTATCGTGAAATTGAGACAACCTTAGGCATTAGTGGGACCAGCATACATTCAATATTGCATAAACATTTGACTGTCAAAAAAATTTGTTCGCGTTGGATCCCACACAATTTGTCAATCGCTCAAAAATGGCTCGTGTCGATTGGTCGAAGGAAATGCTCAATGCGGTGCTTTGAAACACGTCTATGACATCGTGATAGGTGATGAATCGTGAATGTATGCGTACAAGATGAACCAAATCTAACAAAAGTTGTTCGCGCACGAAACACTTCCAAGCAAATGGTCGCCTGTTTTGTTCGGAAAAACTGGACATGTCGCAACCGTACCACTAGAACAGTCAATTCTGAGTGGTACACAACTATTTGTTAACCAGTTGTCCTCCAAGAAATCAGGAAAACCAATCGCCGAAGACGGATCTCTCTTCACCACGGCAATGCGAGCTCTCACACATCGGCTCAAACAACTGCATTTTTGAGCACCCAAAACATCGATTTGATGAGTCATCCGCTGTATAGTCCTGACTTGGCACCGAATGACTTCTTTTTATTCCAGCACGTACAAAACAAACTGAGAGGTCAACGTTTTTCGACACCTGAAGAAGCGGTTGCTGCATGTTGTGGAGATACTCCAATCAGAGTTACTTCGACAATTGGTTCAAACGCATGCAAAAGTGTATAGATCTTCATGGGGAATATTTGAAAAAACAGTAGTGATTTTCGATGATTAATATTTATTTTTGTTCTCTAATCCCGAAATATAAAAGGCAACCTTCTATTGTGCGGTGCTTTGAAACACGTCTATGACATCGTGATAGGTGATGAATCGTGAATGTATGCGTACAAGATGAACCAAATCCAACAAAAGTTGTTCGCGCACGAAACACTTCTAAGCAAATTCTCGCCTGTTTTGTTCGGAAAAACTGGACATGTCGCAACCGTACCACTAGAACAGTTAGTTGAGTGGTACACAACTATTTGTTTGCCAGTTGTCTTCCAAGAAATCAGGAAAACCAATCGCCGAAGACGGCGATATTTGGAAAAACAGTAGTGATTTTCGATGATTAATATTTATTTTTGTTCTCTAATCCCGAAATATAAAAGGCAACCTTCTATTGTCTTTTAATGTAAATTTTGTCGACCCTGATATCTTGTTCAGTTCGAATGTTAAGACGGGGAAAACGTTTTACGTTCGCATTGTATAACACTTCAATATTTCTATGGATTTTTCAGGTTCTCTCGATGAACTAGGTCTCACATCTATGTACCAGTATCTGCAGAGGGCAAACTTGCCGATTGTTCCAAATTATTTAACAAAAACCGATGAGGATAAAGCAACTTTTACCTTTGACTGGATGAAGAGTGAAACACGCATCAAACAAATTTTTATGATGGATGTACTATTCGGAGCAATAGTGGATGCAAATATTTACAATGGTTCTGAGAATGTCATTTACGCTGGACAAATTTATCAAAAATGTCCTCTACCCAGGTAAATATTGTAAATGTAAAACGTATATTTGTTTTAATTAACAGTCATATTCAACTTCATTTGTGTTTGAGATGCCTCAAAGTTAATGAAAGGTTACAAAGTCCCTTTTCCTGTTGTACATAAAAGACATCATTAACCTCACGCCATTGTTTTATCAAGCTACTGATATCTCGTTTGAAAAAATTAGTTTTTCACATCATTGAATTCATAGAAACAAGAAATTTTTGACAGGAAAAAGTTACACCAACTTTTCGAAATTACACATTTTCGAAAAATATGCTGTAACTTAGAACAATAATGAATGTTGATATACGTTTTTTACCATTAAGTTTGTCATAAAATTTGACCCTCAGACAAAGTCATCGGTTTTCATCTATCTAGTTTGAAAACAACAGTTTCCCTTCAAAAGTGTCCAATTTGGCCCCTTTGTACAACTATCCAGCATCCGTATACACAATGGTTTCGTCTATGAGCATCTTCTTCATATTCTCCACATGGTCCCCTTTCTAAATGGTCCGTATATTTGTGTATTCCAAATTCCATACCAATAACTTGCATGTACTGTTCTACCACTTCTAAGGCCTGATGAAGATGGTTTTTCCCAGTGGCGGAAAGTTTGGGATCATCCACATAAAACAATTTGGTGACCTTATGCCTCCAGTTTCTAAATGCGTCAAAGTTATATCCTCGAATGTTTCTAAGCACAATCGATAATGGCAATAATAAATGCAGAAAAGGAGTACTCTGAATGCGTCACTTCTGTAAGTGACCCGCTCGGTGTCTACTGAAGTCTGAAAAATGTGTGAATATTCAATCTTAAATCATTCGTTGATGAAATTTCTTCCAATAAGATAAAAATATGATTGCAGAGTCTATTGTATAGCTAGAGAAGCCCGTTTAATGGATGTTCTAGAAGATAAATCAGTTAACTCTCCTCATTGCTTCCACCCAAAAATCCATTTACAATTCATTGTTGCTTCAATACACATTCTCAATTTTTTCCAGTCCTCTGAGAAGAAGGAAGAAATCTGCCTACACGAATGTATTCAATATTGTTAAGAGAGATAATGATGATGACGAAACAGAAACCTTCAAACAATTAACTAGGAGTATTAACTCAAATATAATAAAATTCATTTTGAAAGAAGTAGTCACCAATAATTCTATCGAAATGCCTAGTGATGATTTATTAAATGGCGCCGCTGACATAATTATGGATATTTCTGATGATATAGAAGAGGTACATATTTCATATCATTCTATATATGTATTTGTTATCAGTGTGAATAATCACCAGAGTATGAAACCAACCATCAGGTGTGATAAGGTCGGGTACCTGAAGTAACAAATGTTACCTAAATAATTAATACCAATACTACAATATCTAATTATCTTCTATAATATATCACGATTACCAACTGTTGAATGGTTCCTAATCAGTTAATGTAGTATTGGTATTGATTATTCAGGTAACATTTGTTATTTCAGGTACCACCTATTGAAGGTACCCGACCTTATCAGTCGTAACAAACAATAAACTCACTAGTACTTACACAACAATTTTTTTCTTTATTCTATATTCAATATGAATTTATACAAAATAAATAGGTCATCAATCGAACAACTAATACCATCGTTGAATAGTGTGATCCCAGATTGGCTGCCTGTAGTTATTTAACTGAGCGATATACATTTTTTGAGCACAGTGTGTCCCACTATCAGGAAGCAAATGGTAAACATTTTGAACATTGATTGGAATGAACTAGAGGAATGCACTAGATTGAGTTTCAAATGAATGTTTTCTTTAAATTATTCTCCATTTCCATTTGAGTGATTCAAGACTATTTCCTTGAGTCTCGAAAGTAATACAATATAACGCAGTAACGTATCATGCTCGGTATCAATTGTAAAATTATTGCAAAAAGCATCAAGTTTAGTGTTCAAAGTTGATGTTACCTAGAAAGCGAATTGTCAAATTGAAATGAACAATAAAGAGCAATAATAAGACATCAACCGAGTTTTGGTAAATTGTTTATCTACAATCTACAGAATGTTATTCAATGACTCATAAAAAAAATTGAAAAATAACAGTTTCACAGTTATAAGTTATAGTTTGATGAGAAAATTAATAATCAAAGTACTTTATATATCCTCTCAGTTAAAATCGGTCTTTATCTACCCTTTCGCATTTAGTTCAATTGAATCTATTCTTTTGAGTTGATAAAAACTTACTGTAACATATGTTATAGAGAAAATACCATTCATAATTCTGAACACTGAACTAACTTTCTTTAGTTAGTTGCCAATCATACCGATCCAGATGCCAAAGAAGATGACACTTTCGCAATAACTTTCGCCGATCTCCAAACTCAAACTGATCAACTTCTGCAAAATCCTGAGCCAGATGTCTGGCTAAAATATTTCAACTACCTCTTCAAAGGCACAGCTGTAACAATAAATCCCAAGAAAGATATGCTATACGTTACCGCAATGGATCTCCAATTCTTGAAGAGGATGCTACAGTATGTTCAGGGAACTGATGATATCAATTTGGAATTGTATATGTGGTGGGCTACGGTTTACGCAATGATTATCAATACATCTTCAGATGTTGTGGATTATATTTCAACACAATTGAACTATTTCTCCAGTGGGTCTTCCAGCAATGTTGCCAGATCCAGGTGAGTCGAAATTTATAAAAATGTTTTCTCCAACGGACTAAGACACGAGACAGGTTGAAAACGGGCATTTTGTGTAGAAAGCCTCCATGCCAGATACGGTCGAAAACTTTTGAAATATCAAGGAGTACAAGACGGACTGTTGTTCAGCTCGGAGATGATTTTTCGACCAGTCTCAGGGCCTTCAGTTCGGTGGAGAGTGCCCTCCTGAAACATGATTTTTCGTCAGGTAGAACATTTTGGTCTTCAACTTCAACTTCTAGTAATCCTGTTTGATCAACTTCGTTTCAGTCAGGATGGAACCACAGCATACTATGCTGTGATGGAACCTAGCTCCCTTACCCTTGTGGCTGGCGTTTGTCAGAGGGACAAATGGAAAAGACGTAACCCTTGTCCATTTACACGTTGCCGTAGGCTATAGTTATGACGTGGAAAGTCCTGATTGGACGACAGTGTATATTTTTGGCGGAAAGCGTTCTGGTTGATTGGTGGGGTAATTGGGTGGTGTGATGTGTTACGGTCGACTAAAGGGATATACATTATATTTCTGCGATGTTGTTGGTGCATTGGCCTTGGTTTAGGATATTATGCTTTTACATGTAGCTGAGAGGTATTGTGCATCATCTCTCTTGCTTAGACTCAGTTCGGCAGTCTAAACAAGAGCCGATCTGTTTGCAGTTCTGAAGTCGATGTTATGACCTGTATCAAGTTGGTGTTTGCATAGGGCTGAGGTTGTGTTCCTTCAATCTGATTCGCCTATTTTTTTTTTAGCCAAATACGAACACTGTCGACCAATCAGGATTTTCCATGCTACAAATACAACCTACGGCAACTTATAAATAAACAAGCATTGACAAGGATTACTTCACTTTGGAGTTCAGCTACCAAGTAAAGCATGTGAATATGTCGTGTAGGATCTTGCCGAAACGTCGTGATAATGACAAAAACGAACGGATGTATACCTAGGATTACACTTCAGCATGTGATACACTATTTTCTCTTAACAGTTTGAGCAGCTCGAATGTGTCTTTCTTATTGTTTATGATACTGTATGTTCATAACATTGTTATTTTCAGGTCACTGGAATGCGCTTTGCTCACCGACAATTACCTGGGATATGCTGTTAGTTATGCTCTTGCCGATCGTTCGTTTCTGAATACAACAAAACCAAAGGTGAGATGTGTAATTTTGGGTGAATATTCATTTTAAAAATTTGTTATTTGGACCTGTGTATTTTTATCCACTGATCTTGAATCTGAAGTCTAAACTTGCTGCTCCGGTGTTAAAAAAACTTGTAAAGTGACACAATCATTTATGAAATTAAAGATATTTTAATAAAGAACTTTTTCGTAATTTAAAAATATAATAAATTTGACAACATAATATTCATTCCTTGAATTTGTCTTTGCGTGTTATTGCCGACAAATAATAACAAAAACTCTCGTGAAGCGACATGAACATCATTTAGAACATGATTCCAAAAAAGGTTTGGGTTGGTGATATGGAACTTTTCTTGGTGAATGTTTTAAGGTCGGTTCAAAAAGATATTGACAGATTTGACATGTAGGTATGATTATGGAATAAAATAAGAGACAATAAGATGAAGTATTTATTGAAAACACTTAGACACTTTTCCCACACTAGAATAAAAATACTATACGTCTGGCGCGTTTCGCTAACCAATTCAGCATCATCAGATGACCAAACCTAAACCTCACAGCAATGTTACTGATTTATATACATCTGGACAAACCACCATCTTACATAATCAGGACAATTAAATTTATTCAAAGTATTAACTAATGTTATTTTGTTATTGTCCCTAATAATAATTACTACCTAATATTTACCTGACCTCAATCGTTATTCACATGTCTCATTCCACATTTTTCGATATCCTAACTTCTGAAGGCATCCAAAAGCAAGTTGTCAAGTACCAATTTCAACAATTTTTTATGGCGATCCTCATTTTTTGCGTTTTTATATCGTTCATCTTGATTATTTTGATCTATTTTTGATTTGATTTTCAGTTTATTTACATAACTTTCATTTCGATTTTGACGTCTGAGTACCCGTTTATCCGAAAGTAGATCGAAGTGCCAAGTTTTGATGTCAGATTTGTGATCAGCAGTTAATAATACGCAAGTCTGATTATTTTTTACAACATATTCATGTAATTTAGAATAATGAGATATATGGAATTTGAAGAATAGTGTTGTTTTTTGTAGGTTGAAAGAATGGTGAATGAATTGAAAAATGCCTTTGTTGAACATGTCAATGGCATAAACTGGATGGACCGAGCTACAAAACAGGTGACTTTGGAAAAAAGTAAAGAAATGTTGACTTTTATTGGGTACCCAGAATGGCTTTTTGAAAATGGACAATTGGACAAATACTATGCTGATGTAAGTTCATTTCATAAATCAAGATATTAGCACTTACCTGTAGTTTAATATATTGTTGAATTTGTCCCCGTGGGTTGATTAATAATTGACTATACTGAATAATCAAACTCAACTTTATTTCACTTTGAATACAACAAACACTTCAACTAAACTTCAACTATTATTTGAATGTCTATCGCCTTATTAAATCACTTCGCTTACTGTACTGTAACTGTAACAGTCTACTTGACTGTATCAATATCCTCGTGGCTAACATTTGAATATCGTAATCGAATGCCGTAGAAATTCCGCCGAAGTTCCGTTGAAACCGGTAGCATTATTCTTGCTGCTTCTAGAGTGGCAAGGAATCATCGTACATTCTCGCGCTCTTAGCTACGCCACGTTTAGTTTATGGTTACCAGTGGCGGCCGGCGTTATTTTCTTTCAGGCATGATTTACAACAATATGAAAAATGATACTCTGCATGGATTTTTGAAATTTCTGAAATATTCATTCAAATCTCATCTACTTTGTAGGCAATAATTCTTATAATTATAATTCAGTTTTCTTAACAATTCTCCTAAATACAATGCCATCCGTGGTAGTTTACAAACATGAAATTATTTCAGGTAGTGATAAAGGAAGATACGTTTATGGATAATATGATCAACACAATAATATCCCATAATTTAAAAAAGATGAATTCACTCAGGGAAACACACAAGAGAGATTGGTACAGTGAGCCCATCGAGGTTAATGCATTCAACTCTTTTTCGGATAACGCTATCAGTAAGTATTATATTTTTCAGTGGTTTAATTCTATTTCAATAATTTTCGGATTCCCATGTACTTTTCACCTATTTGATTTGATTTGACTGGGTTAGTTTTGAAATGATAAGTTCATTTCGAAACAAATTGATAAAACATTGTTCAAACGAATTGAAACCGTTTTCGTAGTGGTCTGTTAAAAAAATGAGATGAATTCTGTTAAAAAAATGAGGTGAATGTTCAAATTTCGCGGGCTACGTACATTTGATGAGCGACTTTCAATTTTTTTTATGTTGGTACACTCGTCTCGAACATATTTTCACAGTTTCAGAGCTCTTTAGCATGTTTAGATTGTTGGTGAGGGGCAAATAAGTTAAAAGTATTCTGTGTGTTCAGAGATTTTTTGCCATCGAAAAGATGGATCAAAGAATTTGCAATGAATTGTATTTTGTTTAAAAAATAGAATAGAGTTCTCAAAAATGCTTGAAATATTGATAGTGGCATATGGTAAGTGGTACTCTGAGTTAGAAAAATGTCTATAAGTGGTACAAGCTTTTCACAGAACTACGAGAAGATGTGAATGACGAAGCTCGCCCTGCACGCCCTAACACCGATGAAAATGTTTGAAAAATGAAGAAAATTATTATGTAGAATCGTCGAATCGCTATTAGAGAAGTTGCTGAGGATGTCGGCATATATTATGGCTCATGCTATGCAAAGGGTCATAACTGGTGACGAATCATGGGTATATGGTTATGACATTGAAACCAAAGTCCAATCGTCCCAATAGAAGAGCCCAGGTGAACGCAGACCCAAAAATATGCCAAGTTCGATCAAATGTCACGGTTTTGCTCACTGTTTTCTCTGATTACCGCAGTATAATGCATCAGGAATTTTTGCCAAATGGTCGTACGGTCAATAAGGAGTATTATTTTGAAGTTATGCACCGCTTGCGAAAAGCAATATGAAGAAAATATTATCTTTTGCATCACTTCAGCTGCTTACTCGTCTTTGCTTGTTCGTTCGTTTTTTGCCAAAAACAACATCGTATTGATGCCTCAGATCGTAAAAAAGATTTTTCCTCCTATGACTTGTATGTATGTATATAGTAGGGAGGGTGCGTGTATACCTATAGCACTTAGGCCACATGTGACCCATTGTACATCCTCCCGAGTAGTTGTCCTAGATTATCGTCCATCCTTTCCTTTTCAGGAAGGTGGACAGGTCACTAGGAAACATCTTCTTTATATCGGCAGGTGTTGGCCAAGGCCAAAGGCTTTTGGGGAGTTTCAGTTTCCCCCACTCTACTGACTAGGAGTCCGGCGATCCCGTCCTTAAGGCCACTTATTGGCTTCCCGGACAGGGCCCCCAGTCCCCTGGCCGTTCCCCTATCCACCACCTGTGGGAGCGGCCTATAGGTAGCCAAACCCATGGGCCCCCCTATGACTTTTACCTGTTCCCAAGATTGAAGAGACCTATGAAAGGATGGCTTTTGCAACGATTGGCACGATTGGCACTAGTATATTATATGTGAAGTGGATTACTTTGAAGGGGATATAATGAAAATTGAATAGATAAATGTTTTTTGGGAAAAATTAAAATTTACCTTATTTTTCGAACAGATAGCACATGTCTTCCTGTTTACCAAACAAAAGTAGAGAAAGTCAAATCCATATAGATTGTCCCCCCATTGAGATCGTGAGAGGGTATTTTCTTTATAAGTGTATTTAGGAAAAAAATCAAGTGTCTGTAACTTCAGTAGGATACATTTCCGGGAATACTTGTATGAATATTTTTCCATCATTTAATGGTTCACAATTTTTTGTAAATTTAGGTTGAAAAAAATTCATTTTCTGGATCACTTTGTGGATATAGTCATGATCTGAAAACAAGAATAGGCATTTTTGTATGTACACAAATGAAGAAAAAACCCCTCTTGCGAACTCAATCGGTAGACACACCGTGTACAATGTTGGAATACATGTGCTTTGAGTTTTTGCAACTTATCCTTCAAATCAAACAAATGAAGCAAATGAAACGCTGAATCTACAGCTTTAAACATGATATTTCACTTTTCAGATGTTCCAATGGCTATATTGACTTTTCCCATGTATAACCTGGGACTAGAGTAGGTATCAACAAATGACTCACAAGTTTCTCGTATAGAGAATGATATAAAATACGGAATAATAGTTTGGTTATTTCAGGGTACTGAATTATGGTTCGATAGGAGCAATTTTAGGCCATGAATTAACCCATGGTTTCGACAATATTGGTGAGTGAGTGAAATTATTTGTCTTGTTGAAATGATATTAAAAATTGTTTTTTTGAAATTTTATCACAGGACAGCAAAAATACTCATGATGCAAACCTTTGAAGTTCCATTTCAATAAGTATCAAAATAAAATAATTAGCTATTTTTAAAATAACTTTCTATATTCTTACATTTGGTCCCGCAGAACATTATTTTATAACCTCATAGTATTTTTTCTGAGTTCTTATGAAACAATATCTCCTAAATAATGACAATATCATACATATCTAACACTTTTTCTAACATTTTTTTGAAGTTCGCATAAATAATAAAAAAGAGGTAACCTACTCTTCAACTCGGAATTATTTGTAAACTAGTGTTAAATTTACAATAAAAAAACACAAAAAAAATACTTGCAGACAGTTGTGTATTTTAATCGAAATATTGCTCTTAATGGAACTTGATTGAATTTTCACCAAACTCTCATCATTTGAGTATCCACCTTGATATATCATACTATTCCATTTTTTGATGTTTCCATCGAATTGATCTTGGATAGTATTTTGTTTACTTTGATAATAATACCTAATGAATTTCTACAAATTTAGGTAGGAAACATGATAAATATGGCAACTACGTACAATGGTGGAGTAACCAAACCATTGAAACCTTTGAAAACCTCACTGACTGTTTCATTAAACAATACGACAATTTCACAATTGACGGCATTGAGGGTCATGTAAGTAGGACACTAAATTTAAATTCTCTTGAAATGACAAAAACCTTTCTTATTGGTAGGTACATATTGAAAAATATTTGAAATTTGTTGTGGATAATGATTTTTTTTGAGAGACCAGAGATTCCAAACTGTGTTAAAAAATAAAAATATTGCCATCTGACATGAGTTTTTTTGCTTCTTCTGACGCAACTGACTCTTCCATTTCTTTCAAATCTCTGCAGCCTCGTGTCCCTAACATCTTTTTGTGACACCTACTTCAAAAATCTGGATGTTTGATGATATTATTCTGGGCATGATATTTGTTGTCCATGGCTTGCTTTCAGTGATTCAATCATCGAACCAATGCCAAACTGCAGATTCGAACTCTCTGAGCATGCGTTCAGCCATGTTTACATTGATAAAATTTGAAAAAAAAATTCAATCTCAGTTCTTGGACAGCAGGAGAATAATTCTTGACAGTTCCGAATACTCCAGCAGGTTCAATTTATGACTTTCATTCTCTGTATGGAGTAGATAGTGTTAAAATCGTGATTGTTCTCCAAAAGGTGGCACGTATAGGTGAAATTATTTTTTTTATGTTCAGAAATTCTTGTTTTGAAATTTCTTGAAGTTTTTCCTATATAATAGGTATCATCCGCATATTAGTTTGTAGACAACTGATCTGCTATCTTTGTCTATGTGTGACTTTTTGTTCTTTACCCAAGTAGTTAACAGTAGTTATGTTAATATTTTGTTTATTTACTAGTATTTTCATTTTATCTGATGTTTTTTCAGTATATGTCTTGGAGGATCTTAGTATTACATTTGATGCGAGGGTATATTTGGTGTATGGTTTCTTTGAAAAGTTCTCTATTAAGGATGTGATGAATTACGTTCGGGTTAGAATTGTTATCCACTTCAATTTGTTTTATCAGATTCAATTCCTTATTAAAATTCTTTGAGGATATTGATACGCCAAGAGTGTGGATCATTTTCTACCTGTTATCTCCTTTAACATCAAACAATTAAGTAAGGTATAGTTCAAGTAAACGATATAGTGCAATATACCAGCCGGACCACCGCGTTAGTGTTCGAGAACGATCTGGATTGCTTTGAACGGGATAAATACGCACGGCGCGGCGACATTGCGCTTAGTTTAAAACTAAACGCGTAACCAACGTCCAGCTTTTCTGTTCATATCCAGCCACCGCCATAGATTGAGGTGAGCACTTCTGTCCAGCCTCGGGATTGGTTTTTGTTTGATCTGTTTTAGTTACATTCATGTGTGTTCCCAAGAGTAGCAAGGGAAGAGTTGGTCACCTCTAGCAAAGCCCCGCATTACCAGAGGAAGGCTAGTTGCAATGAAGTTTTGCCCGGTTCCCCAAGGGGATCGTTCGAACCCGCATATCACCCTGCGGCAATTCAGCTGTCTGCACGATTCCTTACATCTTAGCTTGGGTAGGCTGGTACATGGTGGCATGTTTCGCAAAGGCTTTTGGGGGGTTTTAGTTCCCCTCACCATACTCATTTCTGTCACTGACCAGGAGTGTGGTGATTCCGTCCGAAAGGCCACATTGGCTTCCCGGACAGGGTCAACCCACGGGAAAGTCAACTGTTTCTCACAAAATGTATTGGAAACTCAGCTTTTGATGTAATTGGTAATATTCAGTACGATATTTTTTTTTAAATACCCATGTTCTGAAAACAGTTATGCTCCAAGACATTGATGAGGTATCTTTCAGGCAAAAATAAAGTCTTGAATATTATTAATGAAAAACAGACTTTTTCAGTACACAAAAATTTAGATTATTCTTAAATTCAATAAGAAATAATTTTCGTGCATTAAAACAAAAACAAATCGTGACAGAAAGAGTGACAGAAAGAGAATGAATTTGTGCATTTTTTAATTACCTACAGATAACATTGTAAGAAGTATTTAATCATCCACAAAAAATATCTTTCTAAGAATATTTTTTATTGTTCAACGTTTATTGAACAGATCTCAAAGGGTTTTTTGCAATTTAGATACTTGTTTGCAAAAGTTCTGCAAGAGAATATTCAGGAACCTACTTACAGACCTACAGAGAAAAACTGTCTAGTTTCGATCTGAATTGTGAACATCCAAAATTTACTCCTTTCTTATAATTTGTGTTCGATGTTTGGGCTCCGATTTTAAAGCCATTTTCAAGAAAATTTTCTTCAATGTAAACTCTTGTGCAGAGGAGTGCAGTATCAGATACAAGCTAAAAGTGGAAAAAAAGATCACAAACGACTACTCTCAAACATATGAATATTGAATTACTAGAAAATCATCATTTCCAATTCAGTTTGTACTTTTATCAATGACGACCTTGGACTGGATAGACTGTAACTACTACATCATATACACCATATCATCACCGAATTTGTCATGGTATTTGCATTTTTGGACACACGCATTTTCGACGTTAAAGTAAATGCATCGCCTTCTTTGCAGTTTACTGGTACGACCTTCATGCCGAACCTTATTTTTATACCACTGGTGAGTTGTAGAAAGTGTTTTCTCAGTTAAACCAATAGAACCTGTTTTGATTTCAAAGCAGTTGCTTCAGCACCACTAAAATTTGTGCTTTCATCTAATTCCCCTTTCAGAGTTATTAAATAAATTCTAGTGAATATTAAATACCACTAGAGCCGGTTGATCATGTTCAGAGATTTCCTGTTACTTCTGTTTCAGTCTCTTTCCTTTATCAAAAAGGTTACAACTATTTTGAAAACTGGATCCTTATTATGAGTTATACTGAGGTGTTGTCGTGTTTGCATGAAACTGATCATGAAAAGTCACAATTCGATGATTTCATAAAAAAAACGGATTCATTCGATTACGAGGAACCTTACAGGTTGTAACCCTGTATATCAGAAACAGAATTGAAGAATCAACTAACAAAATTAAAGAGACTTGGTCCATAATGAATGACCTCGGAGGAAAATCAAAGAAAGCAAAGGTTGATATCTCAATAAATCCTAACAAAATAAAAGAATTCTACTGCACCATACCCTATGATCCTTTAATCAATCTAGAAAATATTAATATCGATGATAGCCTCATTTTGTATAACACAGATATTCATGAATTAATTGAAACCTTGAACGACATCAGAAATAAAAATACCGCTGGGTATGATGAGATTTCGGTAAAAATACTTTTGAATCTACCAGGCAATGCATTGGAAACTTTATCATTTTTTGTAAGGTAGTCAAGTAAATCACTTTGGAATTCAGTGAAACTACATATGTTTCCAAATAGCTGAAGTGCTCTATTATAGCAGATAATACCCTGATAACTTGAGGATCCCTGACCAAGAGCCAGTTGAGAATAGGGTAATCGCAGTTCATTACCATTCCGAGTGTGATGTTTATGTATCATTTTATTTTCTGATGTAGTTTGATTTATTTTTCCTGATGAAGATATACAGTGAAGGCAATATTAAGAGAGCCAGTTCAGTAAAGGTATTTCTACAGGATTCTCTATGACGTAGGCCTGCCATACATTTCATTATCCTTTTTTGCACAGTGAATACTTTTGTCATATAGGCAGAATTTCCCCAAAAGACCAGCCCATAAGACATTGCAGACTGTATGAGTCCAAAATACATCAGTTTGAGTACCTGCAATGAGAGAATTCCTCATTACAAAACACAAGCTACTCATTTTTGAGGTGAGATTTTCTACATGTACTTCCCAAGTCAATTTTTGGTTAATTGTAAGTGCTAAGTATTCAATATGACTGACCTGCTGTATAGATTTATGATTGACTCTTATGAGGGGACTGTAATCATATAAAGTATTTTTTGTTGGAAGATCATGAAGGCTGTTTTATTTGTATTAACTAGGTTCATATGTATGTGATCACAGAGTTCATTTATCGCAGTAGATCTTGATCTTTTCTGCCTAAAGCCGTGCTGGCAATCAGGAATAAATTTGTGATGTTCAATAAATTTACTCAATCTCATATAGTAGCTATAATCAATTATTTTTGCTAGTTGTGATTGCAAACATACGTTTCTCTAGTTGTTTACTTCATTTTTTGATCGTCTGTTTGTCTTTTGGGGATTTCCATTATGTTCCTCTCTTCTTTCTGTTTCATTTTGTTGCTATCATTTTTTTTGTCTGCATCTTCATTCCTTTTAGCACCTACATTGGAACAGCGCTGTGTGGTTTTGAATCTGATTTAGTAGTATTTGATGCGTGGGGTTAAAGTTTTTTGACGATCCTATGGATGCTTTCTCAGTAGAGAGGTAGTTGTGCGCTTCCTTGTTATTCGTAAGATTGTTTCAGTTAAGAGAACCTCAGTACAAACGTTGCATTTAATCCAGGTAAGTTCACAGATGAGATTTGTGACACAGAAACAACGCTCTGTGATATTGTTTCACGAAATCGACGCTTTTGGGATCTGATTTGATTCAACCTCTAGTAGTTACTTGTGATTTAAGAATTACAAAAATCACATTATCACTCGCAAAAAGAGGGCAAGATAGGAGGTTGCAGATGAATATTATCAAAGACTCGTAACAAAATAGAGTCTAGGGGGCTTAGGGGGGAAGCAAATAGGTTCGAATGGGACGTAGTCAGCAACAAAAACCACCGGAGAGTGTGTAGGTACTTCAACAAAAGAAAACCTTGAAAGGGGATATAAATTTAGCACACCAAGCAGTACCCAGCCATCAAGCAAGCAACCAAACGAGTAGCAGCCAAGCGAGTAGCAAATATCTACGTTCGTTATCATCAGAAAGCACGAGTGTCACATTGAGTTTACCGATAACTCTAAATGCGAGGAATGTCTCCCAAATACCTACGAATACTTCTCTCTCGCAGTTGCGCTATGCACGACTATTTCGATAAGGCCAACAGTGCTGTGCCTCAACCAAAGGAACCGGTACCCAACGCATATTGTCATCAGTCAACCTCACCACCATAGCTTCATTCAAAAAATCTGTAACTATAACAGTATTGGTGACTTCAACTTGAAATCAGGCTACAGCTGCAAATACAATCTACTGGAATCTCTTTGGTATGCCATTAGCTGCACATTTCGGTCTTCATTGTTATGGTTACCTAAGAGGATCTGTAGAGCGTCACTTGGCTGATTGGTGTATTAAGAACCCTGCAACCACGAGAAATCATCTTCCTGAAATGCGCAAACAGGAGACCAACTATCCAAAACACAGATTTGTGTTGCTCACCTACCTGACGACGGTAATAACAGACTGACCAACGATCAGGTCCTCATTGAGGAAAATGTACCATGTTCTGTGAACCTTCAAGTGCATTATTTTTCACAAAGAAATTATGGCTCTGGTAGTAGAGGACAAACTCGATGCCTGCCGTTCTGCTGACCGGATCAGATTTTTTTCTGAGTGACCAAACTTGAACGGCTCCATCAAAAAGCTGAATTTTTTTGGTAAAATTTGAATAACTGTGAACTACAATAAACCCTCGCGGGTTACAGAGGAGGGTCGAATTGACCCACTTACGTTGGACCTACAAGGGTGTGGTCTTGGAGTTGTTTTTTCTTTAGAGCATGGTTACTAAATTTTTCCAATATCCCTGTTAGAAATGGCAAGGATTACATAAAGGTTGATAATAATTATGCTGTAAGAGTTTTATGCATCATTAAAAAAACAGTTTTTGAGTACAATTATACCTAAAGAATTCCTGTAACTGCTGTATATTCGTTCTGAACTGTAGTGAATCGTTAGAACGAATTTTAATCATCATTCTGTCTGAAAATGGAATGAGCGACTATAAATAATAGTGGATATATATGTATGCATTATCTTCATGACATGTACAATACTACTTAATATGCATGGTTTTACTTTCGTACACTACACCGCTGTACTTTCAATTTCCAAAAAACTTTATATTCTTTGATACAAGTTTATTCATGACCCCCTTTTATAAAAACAACGAACATCAAATCAGCATTCCACGTGATTGTGCAATATACGATCCTTTGAATAAATCTTGCTGATAAAATAAATTTTTAAATTCGTAATAGGATACTTTTCATTGCCTGATAATTTTTTAGGTTGAATTGTAAAATGCACCTGGATCTGATATCACTGATAGACCAAGAGCGCTGTATATCAACACTACACAGCAAACTATAGCTGTCCATATTTCAAGGTTAAACTCGATACACCCCGGACAGCTCTTAAATCTCAGAGACGATTTAATTCATTGCAGTTTCTGTAAATCACAATACATGTCATCTCATTAAAAGTTCGTCAGGAGTCGGTCATATAACTTTGATGCAATTAATATGGCATAGTCATTCTAAAACTCACTAAAAAGGTTGACATGATGATATGACGTGACAAAAATGAAAAAATGATTTCAAATCGACGTTTAGATTACTTTTATTCTTAGTTTATCTTATCTTAGACCAGCATCTCATGATGACGTCAGTTTGGTTAACGAAACGTATTCACGGAGTTATGATTTGTGAAAAAAATATGTAACATTGATAGCAAGTCATCAGGTACTGAATGCGTGCAGAGAACAATTCTAATTCACAGGACGTCCTTTTACTTTTTTTATAGAATCAATAATATATTCATCGATCGGAAAGGACATTGACCACATCATTCCACTCATAAAAACATTGTTATGAATTATTAATTTCAGTTCATGGAATCACATGCTAGGAATCCATGAAAGTGAGTCATAAATTAGAAACCTAGTGACATATTTATAAATGTGAATGAAATGTGTTTTCAAATTTGCTTTATAGAATAACGTCACCAAAAGAAAAATTGAAGTTAGATAATATCGGTTGATTAGGTCTATAGATCAAAGCAAATGATTCTACATTTCAAATGCTTTTCCGTAGATACTTCGATACTTTCGATGATTTTACAAATGTAATTTCAAAAAATGTCTGAATAATTAACACAGGAAATTATTCCGTATTGGTGAATACAATTACACAAGGAAACATAGAGTCAAAAGTTTCCATATCCTTCATAAATTTTGTAAATTAAATAAGAACGGAATAGTTATTTATGTCTATTTCAATTGACTACGGAGAGGATGTGCAGCTCGAAGATGAAGACATCCTAAACCATCTGGATGCTGGAGAGACGTATACTTACCTCGGAGTGGAACAACGCCACTCAGAAGAGATAACAGCAGTGAAGAACTCTCTCCGCGACAAGTATCAACACAAATTTTGACAGATATGTTCATTGGAACTGTTGGAAAAGAACAAAGTTGCTGCAGCAAATATGCTTGCCGTTCCAATCTTATTCTATTCGTTTGGAGTAGTTGGGTGGACTGGTGAGGAGCTGTATCAACTTGACGTGAAGACTCGAAAATTGTAGCATCTCCATAGGAATTTGCATTCCAAATCGTCCGTTCCATGGTTTTACTTCTCCCGATAACAGGGAGGAAGTAGACTTTTGAGTTTGAAATATCTACATGACAGAATGGTATTGGATGAAGCCTGTAAAGTCGTTAGAAGTTCGAATCCCCTTCTCTGCATGGTCCGCGACCATGAAAGAGCAAAAATTGAAGCAGCTGCCCGAGAAGCTGATGAACTTGGTTCAGTTTCCGACACTGAACAAGGTGATCCCAACACCGAGTTGGGACCCGTTCAGCAAAAGGCTCATACAAAAGCCACAGAGATCTGCGACAACATTGAATACTTTGACTTATCACCTGAATTTCGCTTTCCTCGAGTCGAGTGGGCTGAAGTCGGTGACTGAATGGTTCATCACCAGGAGTATCATTAGACAAAATACAACTAGGAAATTCCTCAAGGTGCTCTAATAGCGGTGCCTGTGCGAAAGTAGTGATTCACGTTGGATTTAAATCGCTGGAGATTGAGTTCATAAAATTCAGGAAGTTTATTTCCACATGAACGCAGTTCTCCAAATGAAAGAGTTTTTAAACAGTGAAGTTCGATGTGTACTGAGTTGAAACGCAAAACGATGAGCAGCCACAGTCCGTCGCGTATTTCTGATATGTACCGCTCTTGATGGAATCAAATGTGCCCAGTCACTTTAACACCTCCCGTGAAAGTATCTATTGAAAGGAGACAAATCTCCAACCTGTCTTCGATGTTCCACGCTATCAAGATTGCAAATGATGTTCATGCCTCCAATCAGGCCATGGCTCTTTCCTGGATGGAATCCAGCAGCTTCAGGATATTCTAAGGGTGGAGCTCCATTCTTGTGAACAATTTCCCAAAGGAGGTTTGATCTGAGCTGTATAAAGCATCAAAAGTTGCTGAGGTGTGTACAGTTTTCTGGTTCGGAACCGTGTTTCAAACTTTCGAGAAGCAGCCTTTGCAATTCCAGCGACATGATTGTGACAAGACATATTGGTGTCCATTTTAACGTCGGTTCGGAGACATTTATCTTTTTGGAGAAAAGTGGTGTCTGGGTTTTCGTAGCATTGAATTGAACTTGGTTAATTTCACCCCAATTCGAAATCACCTCCAGATCCTTATTGAGATTTGTAACCTACTGCTGCCGGTGAAGATGTACATTTGCAGCTGATGTCCTGGAATCCAAATGGAATGACGAGACAAGTGTGCTGTCATCAGCAATGCAATATATTGGATTCTTGTTTGTTCTTGTTTAGTCATTGATATAAATATATAATAAAAAGGGGGTTGGAGACAATGTGGATCCTTGGGGAACATCATCATAAAACCTTATTATTTGTTCAACAAATACTATTCTCCAAATATAGGGTTTAATGGATTTCAGAATTATGATTTTAGAAACTGCTATTACGGAACTCGACTTTCTGAACTACACTTTCTACATTCGACGCATCAATCAAAAACTACAACGGAGGAAATATAGTTATTAAATGTGGGTTGCAAAAAACATGAAAATAACCTTAATTCGTGACTAAGAAGATAAATCAGTTGGTGAAGCGTATTTCAGATGAATCCAAGAGGTAGTGCAATAATTATAAGCATGAGGAAATATTTTGTTATTTTTTTATTTTATTGAAGTTTTATAATTCGTAATTAGGACTTTGTGTTTCAATAAACTAGCCACAAAAAAAACAGAAATAACCATATTATATGATGTTCAAAAAATACCTTCCAAACAACTGAATACTCTAATTTGTGACCGTTCATACAAACTCTGAATACGGACGGAAATAGAAAAGGTGGAGTTGAACAATGATATGAAATTGCTATTGAAAATAACACATTCACTATATTCGCATTGAAAGTCGTGATACGAAGGCGTAGAAGGGTCAAAAAAGATTTTGAAAGAAAAAACAAAATTCAAAGTTTGAAATCGGTTTTTCTACGCCTTCGTATTTTGATATTTACAAGTCATACCATTATTTCAGGATATCCACCAAGAAGCAACCAAACAGAAAACTTGGTTGAGGTTAATTCCAGAGGAAAAATGTAAGTACATTAATAAATATATCAATTTCGAAACGAATTTTTGAAACATTTTAATTAGGTGACTCTTGTTTTTGTTAATATTTGATATTTAATTGAAATATCATCATAAAAAGGTGATAAACAACATGGGAAAAATGTCAACGGGAGAAAAGTGGTAGATGAAGAAAAACTTCGAGAACTTATTAAGGACTGTAGGAATATTCAACATACCCAATTGAATGTTACACGTGTTTCGATCACCAAGTGATCATCTTCAAAGAGGAAGATTAAAACTAAAAAATAACGATTTGGTGTTGGGAAAAAACTCCAGTAATATTCATTACTACACCAAAGGTTCCAAAAAGTGCATCATAAATACACAATTGACACTATTGGATACTAAAAAACACACGAAAAGTAAAAGTAAGCTATCTGGAAGATTAAAGGGCAACAGTTTTCACGATTTTTGAAAAACGATCTTACAGCTTTGCCAGAAGGAGTCTTTCAAACATGAACAGTAACATGTGGTTTCAGTTCATTCAGCCATATTTTGCTCGCCAAGTATGTCAATTTTTAGCAGATACTTGTCAAACAAAATGATTTTTTCTTTGTCGCTACATAAAAGAAGGTCTCTATGAACGAGAATGTAATAGTTGAGAATAATTGCTGAAACAAATTCATCTATCATGAAACGAATTGCTCATGGGGTTCAAGAAATACTGAATATCTGTCAGCTTTTTGAAATATCCACAGAGTTTTTGATTGACTGCATGAAACGAATTGCTCATGGGGTTCAAGAAATACTGAATATCTGTCAGCTTTTTGAAATATCCACAGAGTTTTTGATTGACTGCAGTTTATGCATGGGAACATTTCGAGAATTCATTGTAAATGCTTTTTTTAAATCACATTATGCATTTTTCCTCTTCAAGTTCTTATTCAAAACATTTATTAATTAAACGAACATAGTCCATTATTACAACATGATTAAACATTTAATAATTTCTCATGAAATAAGATCTTACTTTAATTAGCAAACGATATAGAAATTTTATATTGTGTGTTGTGTGCTTTGTGTTGTGTGTGTGTTATTTTGAGTTTTTTGCGCTTTAGAGAGTTTTTTCGTTTTTTAAGTATCGTGTGGTTCTGCTGTTTGTTGTGTGTTCTGTGTATTGTGGCGTTATGTTTTTTGTGTGCGTTGTTTTTTTTGTGTGGGTTTTGGTGTCTTTTAAGTTTTTGCATTCACGCGGGTTTTTTGCATTTTCTTAATTTTTTGTTATTTTGGGTTCGTTGTCTGTTTTTGTTTTGTGCAGTGTATTCGTTTTTTTTAGTCATTTCGTTTTTTGAAGTTTTCCTGCGGTTTTTGCGATGGTATGTGTTTTTTCATTCATTTGTGTGTTTTACGAGTTTTGTAATTATAATGTCTTTGAAAAAGAATAAAATTCTCAGATCTTATGAAAACCGTAAAATTTTCACAAACATACTGCAAATGAAAGACCAACAAAACAACTACTTAAAATTATCAAAAATGTCCTTGGGTTTCTCCCAACTTTTTTGTAGCGTAAATAACGTTTTTCATAAAAATCGCGAAAATGAAAATTATACGGAACCTGTTATTTTTATGACCTTTATCTCTATTTTTCATGTTTTTGAACTTGTTGATTAGACTATATATGACTTTTTTCATCAGAAATGACTTATCACCTCCAATAGTTTGGACCATGAAATATGAAACACCCTGTATATTAGATAATATGATACACTAATGATTCATTTGACTATTTTTAGATTCAAGAATCCTTCATTCTACAAGAGACTATCAATATTCCTATTATTATTAGCCTTAATATTCCTTATCGGATTAATAGTTTTAGCCATTTTATGTAAGTAAAATCAAGAATCAGTTTTAAAAATTGTCAATTCACATTAATTTGATACTATCCGTTGATCTTATGAGATTTAAAAAACAAAACAATAATCATCACAATCTCTATTGCAGATACGAATTCAAAACCAAAAATCTGCATATCTAACGAATGTTTGAAAACTGCAACGAATTTGAAATTTTCTTTGGATCCCACTGTGGATCCTTGTGATAATTTTTATGAGTACACTTGTGGAAAATGGTCAGAAGAGCACCCCAATCATGGCTGGTTCAGTTCCTTTTCTAGTTTCACTACAATAAGTGAGAGGATAGCGATCTCTTCATTGGAAGCATTGACTACAGAAAACTCTGGACCAGATGATCCAGAAGCATTGCAAAAAAGCAGAAATTTTTACAAGTCATGTATGGACGTAGGTAAGTAAATATTTATGTACTTATTTATTTTTGGTAGTTTCAGTGTGAATGATTCTTTTCTTTGTTGAATGCTAGAAGTTATAACATTGTCTGTAGTACAATTCCATAATAGTAGGCACAAAATTCTCAGAAACATTATTGCATTGTTGTCAAGGTTGTGATTCTATTTATTTTATCATC